ATGTTATGAGTAATTTATTATAGTGAACCCTTTCTAAGTGTACATTCCCTAAACGAACGTTTCAATTCTATAAATGTTATTGATTTTAAATTTATTTAATTAACTGACCAAATATTATAATACGTATAAGTTACTACGTAGCTTTTAGCGTTAGGTCTGGATCTCTTGTAATACGTACGTACGTACGTACGTACCTATTCTCAATGATTAATATGTAACACTGGTGTCCACCTATACTGCAAAGAGATCCCTATGCTTCACGTTGGAAAATTTCCTGTTATGATTCGTGTGAATTGTGATATATTGCCATGTGTAGAAATGTGGTGTTTTGGCTTACAATACAAAAATTTTCGCGTACGTATAGTGTTATGGTGTTATACGCATAGAGTCCTATATCGTCACACTTAAAAACACCATCTCAGGTCCTATATCGTCACATTATTGGTGCACTTAAAAACACCATCTCAGGAACAGCACTTTTTTTTTTGAATATATGGGGTTGAGTCAATAGAAATCAAGTAAAGTTTTCCTAAATAAATTTTTTTTAAACTTTCAACAACAATAATTCAACAAAAACTTAATCAAATTTAATAATTTTTTTTTAAAATAAATTCTACAAACTTATAGAATTTGTGTAAAAAATTTTTATTAAATTTGATCAAGTTTTTGTTAAGTTATTGGTGTGTGAAGTTTTAAAAAAAATTCAATAAAAATAATTTGCTTGATTTTTATTGACTCACCCCATATAAAGGTAACTTTTATTCTCATCCTTTTTTCACATTATATTTTCTCAGAATAAGTAATTTGGAACTATAGTGACTGTAATAGTAAATTCTGTAACTTGCATTTCTTTAATTTTTATAGCAAAACTTAAGTTTTTAACTTTTTATTTTCTAGTTCTTATGTCTTAATTGAATCAATAAAGAATACATCATACCTTATGTTTTTACTGTATTTTATCATTGAAAAGTGATTATTAATTCAGTATCTTTGTTATTGAAGTGAAAATCTTCTAATAATTCATGGTCACATCTATTGTTGTTAAGTGAAATTTAGAGGTTTAACTATTGTTGAAAGGCAAAACTTAGTACCTTTCGCCAAAGAAAATTAAAAAGGCAAAATGATGAAATTGGAGAAGGTGGCAAAACTGATGAAATTATTAAACCAGTTAAAGTGGCAAGCCAAGTAAAGGTAATAAAACTCTTTCATGGAATTATCAATCTCTTTGTTCCTACTTGTCTATCGTTAAACTGTCACATCAGAATCATATATATACTATCATGATTTTCTAAAAAAATTATGACTCAATGATAGACAACAGGTTGATTTCATTACTGAAGAACTAGAAAAATCTTCTCAAAAAACTGTTTTAGAAAGAATTAATGAAGCTAGGTTACAGAAAGAATAGCAAGCTAAACAGTTTGAAAAAGAGAGAGATGAACTTTTACAAAATATTTTAAATCGTAATGAGGAATTAACTAAGTTAAGAAAGCAAAGAGATTACAAAAAAAGAAGTCGTTTGATTGCAAAGCATAAGTACATTTCTAGTCAACAGGCAAGATAGCTGAGAATCAAATTGAACCAGAGAAAACTAAAGAAGATGAGGTTAAAAGAATATTTTATGATGCTTTAATGTCTCAGTTAAGAAAGTCTGCTTAGTTTGCAGAAAAAAGAACTGCCAAGACTTTCTTTTTAGGGTAATAAAGTAGCACTTGTATAGTTTTTATTGAAAATAAGTCTGATTCGAATAATATACTTTCACTAAAGTTTATGCTCCAATTACTAACAAAGAAATTCAAATAGGATTTATTAATATTTTTAAGGCAGAGCATCCTTTGTTTGAAGCTTTTTATGATCCTTCTGTTAAAGTATATGGTGGGAAAGCTAAATGATATGCTACTCAGTTTGTAAATAAGAATCCAATAAAGTGAAAAAGAGGTATTACTTGTCAAGATATATTAGGTAGTAAAACTTTAGAAGCTGATTTAGAGTTAGTAGAATATGGACTTTTTGGAGATATTGTTTCATATCCTTTTGAACAATTAGCTTTTCAAGAGCCTGAGCAATTAAAAGAAAATTTTGAAGGCAAAATTAATATTATTATTGAACAATGAAAGAAGAAAGTTTCAGAAAATATCATTGAAATACTGACTATAGATGATAATTATGCTAATAATGTTCCAGTAGTTGTTACTAAGCCAAGTACTTTTGAAATTGATTCTTGTAAAATAGGTACTGCTCAAGCTAATAGTAAGACTTTATTTGTTATCCATATGATTGATACCAAAGCTTATGAAATGATTGAGTATAGCAATAAGTTTAATAAAGCAGAAAAAATTTTAGTATGTAGAAGCATGAAGGATATTATTCTTATCTTACATCTGAAAATTCATTCTTTAATTTCAATTTATGGATACAGCGAGGCTTTTAATATAAAATATTTAGAGTTAGAGAGCAAGTTTAATAGAGTTATTATTAAACATTTACCTAATGATTATCATATAATTATATTGGATAAAAATACTTATAAAATCAAGGATACAATCAATTATCTAATGAAGGTGTTTTCTTAGATGATAAGGATTATGATATTTCTCTGCTTTCTTATGTTGGCAAGTGATATTTTGCTTTTGAAGACATGATTCCTTTTTGTAATGCTTTTGCTTAAAAAGAAAATACAGAGTGATAACAGTGTTGATAATGAGTAAATAATTCATATTTTTAAGTTTACAACTGACCTTTTTGATCATTGAAGAATAAGTGAAGATAAAGTGCAGCCAATTCCTTCTTAGACTAATAGTAAATATAATCAAAATATTAGGCAAGCAATTTTACACTATTATCAGGGGTTGAGTAGGTTAGAAGGTGATGGAAAATTAAGAAGACTTTGACCTTATTTAGAAGATAAAGTAATTAAGAAAGGAAGAGTTTGCTTAGTAAAAAAAGGAGATAGGTTAGCAAGCATTATAAGGAGTATACTAAATTAAAAACAAAAATTGGTGATAAAGAAGAAATTTTTGACAATAGTGAAGAAGACAAAAATTTGCTATTTTTGACAATAATATAGATGCTTTGCTAGATTTAATTGGAATTGAATTTTATTTAGAAAAATTAGTTTACATCTTAGATGCTATTTTTTATAATATTGAATTGAGTAAGAAATGTATTATCTTTATGTCCAGATGAGCAAGATTGATAGCATAATTTACGTATGTTTAATCAAAAAATATTTTCTTACATTACTTTTGAAAAAAGTCAGATGCCTAGCCAGGAACAAATAAGGGTGGTAAGCAAGGAATTTCTCCACAAGATATTAAATATTAAATTTATGAACCTCAGAGTAGAGAGAAAAGCAATCTACGCAAAGATTATAAACATATCTTTAAAGAAATGATGTTTTTATAAAGTATGCTTTGACATTTTAATAGATAAAAAAGAAAGAACATCAGTAAAAGAGGTGCAAAATGCTAACTTTTTTTGATGCTTGAGAAGATGGAAGGGCTAATTTTAGAGTGAAGTTCATTAAACAAGTAATGAAAAATTGAGGTGGAGATTATGCTCTTTGATATGCTGGTAAAAAAAGGAATTAGTTATGACTTGTCATTGTGGTAAGAAACATTATAGTTTTGCAGAATGAGAACAAGAGTATAGTTATTAAAAAGTGGATAAAAAACTTTGGGTTGCAGATAAATATTCAATTGATGTTGGTTATTATGCTACTAAATGGATTTGTAAAAAATGTCAACAGGAAAAAACTCATCTAGATAATTGTACTTATTTAGTTAATAATTTACAAGGTGAGTCAGGTGAGAATAAAATAGTTGAAGGAGAAGTTACATTTAATAATTTTGCTGAGCAAACATCTAAAATTAAAAAAAGCCTACAAGATCTGTTTTGAACAAAGTTAACAGGAGAAATAAATACTTATTTGCTTTCTGGAGAAGAAGAGATCAAAGATAATTAAGATAATTATTGATTAAAAAAAGAGGCTAAATTAGGCCAATTTAAAAATAAGATGGAAGCTACTAAGCGGTTAACAAGTTTACAAAGTGATTTATTAAATAAAAAAACCGTCTTTATAGATGTTGAGAGAATGCAAAAAGTTACTAAGCAGGTAACAAAGTTATTTACTAATTTACAAGCACAAAAAAGTTAATATTTATTATATTTACAGCAATAAAATACAGGAATAAGTCTCTAAGCCTATTTATATTTTTTTTACTTTTTTCTAATAACCTCATGACCAAAATACATTTTTGTGCGATAGTTGCTAAGATGACAAAAAGTATAGTTAAGAAATTAATTTCTTCAAAAAGTAATTTATAGGGATGGCTAGATGCAATTGTTGTAGAATAGCTAGTTTTAAAAGTTTTAAAATACTGTTCTAAGATTAGTAATTCATTTGCAAAATTAACAAGAGTTATTTATACTTACTGAATTTCTATTAATTTTTCTGTCAGTGGACAGATCTAGGATCTCAGGCTTTTTAAAAATCATAAAAAACACTAAAGCTTGCAAATTATTTTTTACAAACTCTTTAGTGCTTTCAATTTTTAAATTAAAAGTAGCAGTGATTACTGTTTTTAGGCAAAACTATTTTTGACAAATGGCAAAAGTCGAAACTAAACCCGGCAAAAGTCAAAACTGGCAAAACTCTGGC